TAGCTCTCTGTCCCTCTCCCTTCCTCTCTGTAAAAAATCAATAAAATATATTTTTAAAAAAATTAAAACTAGAACTACCTTATGATCCAGCAACCTCACTCTGGGTGTATATCCAAATACATCCAAAACACTGATTCTAAAAGATATATGCCCCGCTATATTCACTGTGGTGTTATTCACAATAGCTGAGATAGGGAAGCAACCCACGTACCCAGCAGCAGACTAGTGGATAGGGAAGATGGGGGGTATATACAGTGGGGTATTATAGGCCATAAAAAAGGATGAGATCTTACCATGTGCAACAACATGGGTGGCCCAGGAAGATTTTATGCTAAATGAAATGTCAGGGCCATACAGATGCTATACGATTTCCCTTATATGTGGCATCTAAAAACCAAAATAAATGAACAAACAAAACAGAAACAGCCCTAGCCAGTTTGGCTCAGTGGACAGAGCGTCCGCCCACAGACTAAAGGGTCCCAGGTTCGATTCCAGGCAAGGGCACGTACGTACTCTGTTGCAGGATCGACCCAGGAGGCAACCAATCACTAGGCCCGTCTCTCTGTCTCTCTTTCCCGCCCCCTCTTCCCCGCCACGAGCTTTTATTTCACTTTAAAACGATATCCTGAACCGAACAGCAGTGTGCTGATCATGTTTACCAACTGCTCCGGGGGGGGGGGGAGGGGTGCCCGGGGACAGCGTGGAGGACAGAAGCCCAATTTGTCTCAGTTGCCAGTGTAGGTGGCGTACACACCCCCACCTCGGCTGACTTCAAGCTCCAATGGGCAACCGAAGATAGAAATAAAAATCAAGGCAAAAGCAGTAACAATGACAAAGTAAGATTTATGACACAGCTACAACCTGACAAAATAAACATGAGCCAAAAATGCCTCATGCCCTTTGACCCTTTCATTCTCTAACTGAACATTTAGCTATGGGAAGTACGTTGTTACGTTCCCAGGAATTTCATACGCAGGTTGTTCAGCATGACCATTACTGAAGAGTATCTATAATAGTAAAAGGGTAATATGCTAATTCAGTGGTCGGCAAACTCATTAGTCAACGGAGCCAAATAGCAACAGGACAACCATTGAAATTCCTTTGGAGAGCTACATTTTTTAAACTTAAACCTCTTCTAACGCCACTTCTTCACAATAGACTCGCCCAGGCCGTGGTAGTTTGTGGAAGAGCCACACTCAAGGGGCCAAAGAGCCGCACGTGGCTCGAGAGCCGCAGTTTGCCAACCGCTGTGCTAATTAGGCCAGACATCGTCCGGATGTCCTTCCTGACAAAGCCGGGGCCAGGGGGAAGCCAGCCCAGGTCCCGGTGCCAGAGGGAAGCCGGGGGAAGGAAGGCCTACTCTTGTACGACTTTTTGTGCATCCAGCCTCTAGTCACATATAAACTCATAATTTAAAAAACCACTTTAAAAACAAAGTTAATGAATGCTAAAAATGCATCACATGCTAACTTTTCAAATTACACTGTTTAGGTGTTTACATCTCCAGGGTGACTACACATTTCCTCCCAACTCTGCCTTTAGTGACACCTGCTGGTGGTAAGAAACAATGCACTAAATAGGTTTCCTAGAGGATTTTTAAGTGTGAGTGCAGGAGTGCAGAGAACTGTTAATAGAGATGAGGAAAACTGCTGCTTTCCAATGGAGGAGGATTATATAGACAGGAAGTAGGAAGGTGGTAGGTCAGCGGGTCATTGGGAAAACAAAATGGTAGAAGAATGGTAACAGGAAATGGGAAATAAAGTGTGACTACATTGGTGTGCTCAGAAAGTAGTATACTGACTGTCAAATGGGAAGAAAGCTAACCTGGAAGTGAAGGTATTCCTAGGTCACAGGCCACTTAACTGTCTGTGATGATGGCAGCGGCGCGATGGCGCGGCGTGGATTCCCACACTGCACACGGAACTGCCTGGGGTGTCAGAGGGAACTCAGGGAGCACCGTGGGGTGCTTTGCATTCGCAAAGGGAACAGTGCTACGCGACATGCGAAGAACATAGCTTGAACTAGCTGTTCAAGTTATTATTAATAGCAGTTTCAACGTTTGATTTGAATTTTATTTATTTTGATGATGTCATATATTTGCAAAGCTGGGTTTGAGGGATAAAAAACAAGAACCTCATGGAAACTATTGAAGAACAGGAAATGAGAGTCGTGGTGCCAGGGTTTGAGAAGTTATGCAGTGCCCAGTGGGTATACATATCCAGTGAGTAATGGCGGTCATCCTATATAATAAAAGGCTAATATGCAAATTGTCCCCTCAGTTCAACTGACGGGGGGGGGGGGGGGGGGGGTCAACTGCTTGCTATGAGTGTGCTGATCACCAGGAGGCAGCACGGAACAAAGGCAGGCCCCGGCCAGCAGCCAGAAGGCGATCAGCCCTGATCGCCCGCCAGGCCTAGGGACCCTACCCATGCACAGATTTCATGCGCCTCTAGTTTAAGAATAAAATGAAAATGTTACTTTCTACTTCAATTTATGTGTTCCAATGGCTACTGAATTGTTAAAACACAAACACTTCTTAAGTTGTTAGGACCCGACTTCTTACTGAAAAGAACTGTTTGGTGGGTTTTATCGGTGGCCCGTGGGGGTTCGTTCGTTCGTTCGTTTGTTTGTTTGTTGTGGCTTTTAGGACCATGAAGAAATTGTGTAGACACTAAGGGGGCTGTGAACTGAATAGAGCTCCTGGCTTCGACATCAAACTCGCCAAGAAGAAATGAGTGGGATTCTGGGTGCAGAGTACCACGAGACACAACGATAAAATAAGTAAATAAATGTTGTATTGAACCCAGAAGAGGGATCAAAGGTAAGGAGTTAAGAGAAGGAATGATGAGTAATGGTGTGTGCAGCACTACTTGTAAAAGCAAAAGAACAGAAACAGGGCAAACGCCCTGAAACAGAAGGGTCACCGAATAAACTGGGACCACATCTGATGTGCAACTTGGAGAGAAATAAAGAATATTGCTGCATGCTATTGTGCATGATCTCCATGGAATAATATTAGATAAGAAAATCAAACTGGAAGAAAGTCTTTATGTTATACCATTCACCTAAAAACGGTGTAGGGTATATCTACCTAAACCTTTGCTTATTTTTTAATTCCTACGGTAGAAGGTATAGACCAGGAAAATCAAGGAAATTCTACACTTTGGGTCTCAGCTGTGGTACTTTTCATATGTTTTTCTCGATTTCAGAGAGGAAGAGACAGGGAGAAAGAATTATTGATTGGTTGCCTCTAGCACGCATGTCCAGAAGGGGGCGTGCTAGAGGTAACAATCAATAATTCTCTCTCATCATTGATGTTTCTACCTCTTTCTCCGTCTCTTCCTCTCTGAAATCGATAAAGACATATTAAAAGTACCACAGCTTTAAAAGTATATAAAAGTATTTTTTAAAATAAACAGGAATTTTAAAAGCAATGATATGATTAGACTTCAAGCTTCCTGTTAAGTTGTAGAAATCCCAACAGATGGTCCTCCACAACAAAACATGGATGCTCTACAAAATCACACCTTCGCCTGCCCTCATTGGAGCACTGAGTTCGCAGGGTAACGAGCCAAGTTAAAATACAGGGGAAGGCAGCCCTGGCTGTGAGGCAGCGGGTGAGCACTGGCCGGCACATGAAGGATCCAGGTTCGATTCCGGCCCAGGGCACCCACCCGCCGGGTGGCTGGCTGGATCCCCAGTGGGGGGCGTGCAGGGGGCAGCCGATCCACGATTCTCTATCATCATGCTCCCCTCTCTCTTCCTCTCCGAAATCGATAGAGACAAGTCAATAGAGACATGCTTAAGATTCATCCTGTGAGTGTAAGGGACGGGATCCACCAGCTGCCACCGAAGCGGGAGGGAAACTCGGCTCGCCAGCCCCTGATGCTCTGAAGTCAGGCGGGCCCGCGGGGAGGGCAGGCCTGGGCGCACGCGGATTCTGGGTGCAGAGCACCGGGGGGCCGGCCTCCCTCCCTCCCTCCGCGCACCCGGGGCGGCCAGCTCCGAGGCCAGGCTGTGCCCGGAGAGCCACACGCCGCAGCCCCGCGGCCGAGACGTGGACCACGGGCTCCGCGAGGCAACTGCGGGCAGAGGCGCCGCCCGCGCGGCCGAGTCGCGTGACGGAGGAGACGCATCACCTCGCGCTTCCGGCGCATCAGGCCCGGCGCGGCGGCTCAGAGCAGCGACTGGCCGGGCGGCCGGCGGGCTGGCGGGTCCCGGGTTCGATTCCGGCGGGGGCCTGCGCCTGGGCGGCGGGCACATCGCCGGGGGGGGGGGGGGGGCGAGCAGGAGGCGCTGGTGGTGTTCCTCTGTCAGCGATGTTTCGGGCTCTCCCTTCCTCTGTAAAACCAATAACACATAAGACACACGCACAGTTTACACCTACATCTACATCCGCATACCAGCTGGTTGCAGGAAGCATCACCCTGACACCAAAATCCTAAAAAAAAAAGACGCGGCAAGAGAATAAGCCCCGAAACCAGCCGGCGCCGCCCGCCCCGGGAACCGGGGCACGAGCGGTGCGGGACGCGCCCCGAGGTGCCCCTCCAGCCGGGCGTCCCCGAGGGGAAGGGGCTCCCTTCTCAACCCAAACCGCCGGGAACGCGGCCGGGCGGCCGCTCCGCCAGCACCGCTCCGGGGCCCGCGGGCCCGCCCGCCCCCGCCGCCCGGACGCCCGCGCTCCTCGGGGGCGCTTCCTCGCGGCTCCGCCAGGGGCCGCTCCCGCCTCACCGCCCGGCTCCGGCTCCCGCCCGGGGCAGCAGTGCGCACGCGCCGGCCCGCGCCCACGCCAGACCCGAAGTGCGCAGGCGCCGTAGGCGGGGCTCCGATCGGGGCGGAGGAGGCGGGACTCTGGGCGGGGCGGAAGGGGCGGGGCTCCGGGTGGGGGCGGAGGAGGCGGGGCTCCGGGCGGGCGGAAGGGGAGGGACTCCGGCCGGGGGGACGGAGGGAGCGGGGCCGGGAGCGTGTCCGCGCGGGGCCGGGGCGGCGGGGTGAGCTCCATGGAGGGGCCCGCCCGGGAGGCACGGCCCGAGGACGGCGCGGGCCCGGCCGCCGGCAGAGAGGACCTCAGCAGCCGGGTGAGTGCGGGCGGCGGGAGGACCGGGGACGGGCGCAGGGCCCCGCGCGGGCAGCAGGGCCGGTAACGGCTTGTCCAGCTCCGTCGCTCCTTTAAGAGAATTATTCCAGCCCTAACCGTGTGGCTCAGTGGATGGAGCGTCATCCTGCGGACTGGAGGGTCCCGGGTTCGATTCCCGTCAGGAGCCTGTGCCTGGGTTGCGGGCACATCCCCAGTGGGGGGGTGGGGGGGTGTGCAGGAGACAGCTGATCGATGACTCTCTGTCATCGATGTTTCTAGCTCTCTCTCCCTCTCCCTTCCTCTCCGTAAAAAAAAAAATCAATAAAATGTTTTTATTAAAAGAAAAGGAAAGTTATTTCAGAGGAAGGGGCAGGATAGAGAGAAGCATCCATGATGGGAGAGAAGCACAGGTTGGCGTCCGGTCTGTTCTCTACTTGAGCCAGAACACACAGCTGGTTGTCAGTCTTCCCCCAAAAGAGGGGAGAGGGGAGCCCACCCAGCGCCCGACCTGCCGCGGGCAGCCAGAACCTTCTCCAGTGTATTGGAGTGGGCAGCGGCCGTGGCCATCCGGGGTGGGATGCCCTGCATTCTTGCTTCTGTCCTGGACGAACAGTTCCGTCTCTGGCCCCGTATCAGTGTCCTCGTTTGAAGTGCAGAGAACTGGATGTCTACCTGCCATTTCTGAAGAGAATGGGAAAGCTTGTTCAAACACAGGCTTCAGGGTGGTACAGATTGGGTCTTGGAATTCAAGCCCATACAGTCCGTTACTGTCCTGACTGCGACCTGGGGAGACGGGAGGAAATACTCCTGGCAGGAGTGAATTTTCAAACCCCACAAGCCACGCTGAGGCTCCCTGGCAGACCACTTACCTGGAGTGGCGGACCCCGGGGGTGTGAGTCGGGCAGAGATCGTCAGCGTGGTGGAGAGGTCACGGTCACAACGGAACCACTGGTACTAAAGAGAAAAACCTTCCTTCCACGTAGCGGGGCCTTTCTCCTTCGCCTGCCAGGCTGTGCTGGTCTTAGAGCAGAGACAGAGGTGAGAGGTCTTACCGCCCCAGGTGGGGCATCTGGTGCTACTTGCTCCGAGCGCTCGGCTGCACCATTTCGTGCCTGAATCATGAAAAGCATTGGTGTTTGGGTGGGAGAGTATCCCGCTCCTTTTTCCATTTGCTAATCTTTATTTTAAAAAGCTAAAACATAACTTAAATTGTTAGAAAACAAGTGCATATTTTTTAAAAATATATTTTTATTGAATTTTTACAGAGAGGAAGGGAGAGGGATAGAGAGCTAGAAACATCAATGAGAGAGAAACATCCATCAGCTGCCTCCTGCACACCCCCCACAGGGGATGTGCCCACAACCAAGGGCGTGAGCGCCCTTGACTGGAATCCAACCTGGGACCTTTCAGTCCACAGGCTGACGCTCTATCCACTGAGTCAAACCTAAGTAAAGTGTATACACTGGCCTTGCGTGTGCCCATTACCAATACGAATCCCAGCATCTGGGCTCAGTGGCCTGGATACAACTTGGGGAGCCCAGTGCTGTGTCCTCTGCCACTTCCCACACCTGCACCTCCACAGACACACTGAGAAGGCCATCCCACCCCCCGGCCATCTGGGCCGTCAGCACAGTTAGCCCATTGTCCCATCTCCACTTCTAATGAGCCCCCGTGAGCGGGCTTTGATTTAAGAAGTTTTTCTTTATCTCAATAGATTAAAGAACAAAAGATTGTTGTGGATGAACTTTCTAACCTGAAGAAGAACAGGGTGAGTATTAAAGGGGAGCAGGCCTAAGCCGTCAGTCAGACATCCCCTGAGGGTTCCCAGACTGTGAGGGTGCAGGCCAAGCTTAGGGACCCTCCCAGTGCATAAATTTAGTGCACCGGGACTCTAGGTGATTTATAATACCATGTTTCCCCGAAAATAAAACATCCTGCGAAAATAAGACCTAGCACATGGGAAGATAATACATCCCCTGAAAATAAGACCTAGCGCAACTTTGGGAGAAAAAATTAATATAAGACACTGTCTTATTTTGGGGGAAACAGGGTAGTTAAAAGTTGATAACACCTTAAACAAACGTAATATGTTTTACCCATACAGTAATTTTATAAAAGAACACATGTAAGATGTTCTCAATATGTTGTTCATTGATAAAAGCAAGTTTAGAAATTTGTAGTTATAGGAGCCTGTTTTTGTTAAAGAAAAGTGGTATTGTGGTATATGCAGAGAAAAAATAATTTCACCTCGGAGTTATTGGTAGCAATGGCAGGATAATGAGTAACTTCATTATTATACGAAGGTACTGTTCTTAACGTGTTACTGAAATTCAAGAATAAGTAATGATAGGGTTCAGAGTTTTAACATCTGTTGCTTTTTAGATCAAATCGTAATATTAGCCTAAATTGTGTTTTGCAGAAAGTATACAGGCAGCAACAGAACAGCAACATATTCTTTCTTGCCGATCGAACAGAAATGCTTTCTGAAAGCAAAAGTAAGTTTTCTGTCATATTCTATGGAAATGCACAGAATATAGGCTTTCTGTGGGACTTCATGGCAGTGCCTGAAATGTCCCATCGGCATCTGAATGCTGAAGTATTTATCTGAAGCTTGGGCGACGGTACGTCTGTTCATAAAATCGGAGCAGTGGTTGGTTTGCTTCAGGTCAGCCTTCCAAAGATGAGCTATGGTAAAGATAAATCAAGCAGGAATACAGGGATGTGTTAGGCAGCCCTGATTACGGACATGTGCTTTAGAGTTTGAGATCTAGATGGAAACTATTCTATCACTTTCCAAAACCTTTGTCACTTCCCATCCATTACTTTGAGCCTCCAAAGTCGGGTGGAATTTAAATGAGATTGTCTATGTCAGTGGTCGGCAAACCGCGGCTCGCGAGCCACATGCAACTCTTTGGCCCCTTGAGTGATCTAACACCACTTCTTCAAAACAGACTCTCCCAGGCCGAAAACCGACTTCTGCTTATGGGCCACGAAGTTTCCATTGCACTGTACGTGCTCGTTCACACGTAGTGTTTTGTGGAAGAGCCACACTCAAGGGGCCAAAGAGCCACATGTAGCTCGAGAGTCGTGGTTTCCCGACCACGGGTCTATGTAAAGTGCACAGCCCAGTGCCTGGGCCAAAACAAGCATTTAACGTACAGAAACTAATTTCCCCCCAAGAGGTTAACATGCGTCATGAGAAGCCTGTTGTAAGCTGTTGATTTGCACTAACACACTGCACTCTGCTCCAATAGTTTGATCTTGGTAATTGTCATCCTGTGAATTACTAGATTTATTTATTTTACTTCTTCTTCTCCATCCCCCCACAGATCTATTGGATGAGCTGAGAAGAGAATACCAAGAAATGGAAAACGCAGAGAAGACCAAGATCAAGAAATAGTCCGCTTGACTTCACGTCACCATGTGTGGCATTTGCTGTTCTGTCAGCTTTTCTCCTGAACATTTCCGCAGAGATCTGACCGAGGATTTGCTGTGCAGCCTTACCCGGCGGGGGCCCGATGGCAGCAGGCAGCTGGGGAGGGCGGATGCTGGCTACCAGTGCCTGTTCTCAGGTCACGTCCTTCACCTGAGGGGAGTGCGGACTGCCCAGCCGCTGGGCGGCCAGCGGGGCGACGTGTTCCTGTGGAACGGGGAGGTCTTTGGCGGGGTGCCGGTGGCAGCCGGAGAGAATGACACGCAAGTCATGTTTGACCGTCTTTCCTGCTGTCCCAGCGAGTCTGGCATTGTGTCGCTCTTCTCGGAAGTCCGGGGTCCGTGGTCTTTTATTTATTACCGAGCGTCTGACCATCACCTGTGGTTTGGGAGGGACTTTTTTGGCCGCCGGAGCCTGCTGTGGCGTTTTAGTGACCTGGGCACGAGCTTCTGCCTCTCCTCAGTCGGCTCCCACACCTCGGAAGTGGCGGATCCATGGCGAGAAGTTCCAGCATCTGGAATTTTCAGAATCGATCTCAAATCTGCTTCCACCTGCAAGTCTGTGGTCTTAGACCTGTATCCTTGGCGATCCGTCTCTACGGAGGACGGTACCAGAGAATGGCACGACCGCCTGGCTCAGGCTGCAGCCAGCCTGCCACCGTTCGTGTCCGTGGCAGCGAACGCGGCCGGACTGTGTCTGGAAGAGCCCGTGGCTCCTCTCAATGTGACGCTGCCACCGGCCCCGGCCGCCGCTCCCCGCGCTGGCGGTGCCCACAGCGGGCCCCTGGCGGGCGGGCTGCGGGCACTGCTGGCCGGTGGGCACACGCGGGAGGTGGTCGGGCGGTTCCTCGCCATCCTGAGCGGCGCGGTCCGGCGGCGGGTGCTGTGTTTGCCGCGGGAGGACCTGCCCCCGAGCGCGGTTCTGGAGCCTCAGGGCCGGGAAGCCAAGGTCGCGGTCCTGTTCTCCGGGGGCGTGGACTCCATGGTCATCGCGGCCCTGGCTGACCGTCACGTGCCTTCCGAGGAGCCCATTGACCTGCTGAACGTGGCCTTCGTGACCGAAGCAAAGGCCGCCCCCACCAGCCCCAGCGGCAAAGGGAGGAAGCGGGGAAAGGCTGGAGCGCCGGCGGAGGCAGGGCCTCCGGGGGCTGCCGCCGCCCCCGACCGAGCCACGGCCCGGGCGGGCCTGGCAGAGCTGCGAGCCGCCAGCCCGCGCCGCGCGTGGAACCTGGTGGAGATCGACGTCCCCCTGGAAGAGCTGCGGGAGCTGAGGAGAGCTCGCATCCGCCACCTGGTGCAGCCCTCGGACACGGTGCTGGACGACGGCATCGGCTGTGCCGTCTGGTTCGCCGCCCGGGGCGCCGGCTGCCTCGTGGCCCCGGGGGACGCGAGGCCCTATCGGAGCCAGGCCAAGGTGCGGCCCCCTTCCTCCCCTAACCCCGCCTCTGCCCCCGCCCCCATGCTCCGTGTCTCAGCCCTCTCTGCCCCTGCAGCTCTTGGCATTCAGGGTGTAAAAGTAAAGTGTATTTTAGTTGCATTTAAACTACAAGGCAGTGCATAGGACTTTTAAAATTGGGGCGTATTTTATTATCTTTGTCTCCGAAAACATGATCGCTGGGGTGGTAACTCTCAGCTTGCCTGTCTTCTCTCCACGCTGCGTGGTGATGGCTCAGTGCGTCTCTCACCGGCACAGGTCGTGCTGACGGGGATCGGTGCGGACGAGCAGCTCGCCGGCTACTCTCGCCATCGTGCCCGCTTTCAGACGCACGGCCTGGAAGGCCTGAACAAGGAGATTGCGATGGAGCTGGCTCGGATCTCTTCTAGAAACCTGGGCCGTGATGACAGAGTGATTGGTGACCACGGGAAAGAGCCCAGGTAACGGAGTCGGGGATTTTGTGAAGATAATGGCGGTCGAGGGAGGCTTTGGCTTCCTTGTTTTCCTTTGGAGACCGTTCAAGAACATAGTCGTGGCAACAGTGATGTCTTGGGTTTATAGCAAACAGCAGCAAGGGATGATGTGTCATTTGGTGTGAAAAGAAGAAATTTGTCTGGTGGTTCATTTACTACGTGGCAGTTGACTCGGACACAGCATTCAGGAGCAGGCGTACCAGCAAACTTGTGGGGTTGGAGCATCCTAACACGACCACTCAGACTTCCTGCTTGTCTCTCTCACTCCTTTCTGCTTTCACGGAACTCTGGTTGCCTCTATACCTTTGTCATTCTCACGTTGCCAGTTCTGACACACGTGAAATTTTAATCACTATGTCATTATTCTAATCATCTTCAGGTTTTCATTATAAAGAGATAATGCCACCATACAGAGTCTGTAAAAGGTTTTCCTTTTGAAGAGTGTATGTTAGAGATAAGAAAATTAGTGCCCTCAAAAACTTTATGCTGTAAATTTTAATACAGTGAATAAAATGCAAAGGAAGTAATTATAACAAATTGATTTTATTTTTTAATAGTGTTTGTATTTCTCTATTCTAGATTTCCTTTCCTGGATGAAGATGTTGTCTCCTTCCTAAATTCCCTACCTGTTTGGGAAAAGGCCAACTTGACTTTGCCCCGAGGGACTGGCGAGAAACTGATCCTGCGTCTCGCAGCCACGGAGCTGGGTCTCACCGCCTCTGCGCTGCTGCCGAAGCGGGCCATGCAGTTTGGCTCCAGAATTGCAAAACTGGAGCAGAAAAACGAAAAGGCATCTGATAAGTGTGGAAGGCTCCAAGTCATTTCCTTAGAAAACCTTTCTATTGAGGAGACTAAAACAACATCCACAATGTAACCACGTTCACTAAATAACGATTACACAAAAATAAAACCCTGCTGCTCTATTATTGTATAAAATGGTGATTTTAGAATTCACTATGCAGCTTAGCGTAACCAATCTTGACAGGCTGCAGAGAGAAGGATTATGCCTGAAAGAACGACTCAGATGTTTAAGCCGATGCTGCCATTGTTTGAACTCTCCACGGAGCTGCCCTGCCAGCCACACTGAACACGCTTCATGTGGCCGCAGCCAAACAGCTCAGTTTATTGTCGGGGTCGTGGTTGACGTGGTGTACAGGGACCCTGTGACATGTGAGGGAACTAAGGTTCGGAGAAGCTAAACGCTGCTTGAGGTTCACACTCCTGAGCAATACTTGGCACTTGGGTTACGTCTCTCTGGGTTACACTTTCTGGGATGGATGTACTTTGACTCTTAATCATAGAAAGAAATACTAGGATACGTGTACAACGAATAATTCTGTCGAAGACTTAAATGCCCTGAGTTGATCCCCTGGTGAATGCAATGTCAAACCAGATTTAAGTATTAGGCTGAGTAGCTTTCCTCTGCACCTGAAGGCAGACAACTTCAAGTGTCTGACACGGACGGAGCACTGATCTGACATTGCCCCCTGTTGGGAGCGGGTAGACTAAGGTGGCCCGAGCAGCCTGGAGGTGAGTGAGAGTGGTTGTATTACAGCTCGGTAAGACAGCAGCTGTCATTTACAGACGGCTGCACGTGTCGGCCGCTGCTCTGTGAGCTTTGCTGGACTAACAATCTAGTCCCATAAACTCTGGGGGAAGTGCTATGTTAACCTTACAGGAACAATCTTTGTTCACGCTTCATAGCGGCAAACATACAAGCCTCATGAGGAATGATCTTTGGCATCCTTGCCCTGGAACAACAGTCCTGCACTTACCTCCATAGCAGCTGTTAAGAAACAGGCCCAACATGGGGTCGCTGTGTTCAGCTCCATCAAGACTGAGTAGCGAAACCAGTTTCAGCTCCGCCTCTCGGGGAGTGGGGTTTAGGCCCATCAGTCTGGCATTTCCTGGTCAGCACTAGTGAGGTCAGCTGCCTGATGCGACCCCTGCCTTTCCCCACGGAGGCTGACCTTGTTTGAAATGGCCCATCCTCTTCACCTTCCGTCTACCGGCAAAAACTCCCAGAGCTTCCTTCTGTTTGCAGATCGGATACTGTCGACTCAGAATCCCTCAGTAATGCCAGCTAGGTTTTTTAATTTACTAGGTTGAATTCTGAGGCTTTAAAATCGCTAAACTATGAAGGCCCTGGCCAGATAATTCAGTTAAAGCATCGTCCTGTTACGCCAGGGTCCGATCCCTGGTCAGGGTACACACAGGAATCACCCAATGAATGCATAAATAAGCAGAACAACAAACAAACATTTCTCTCAAAACCAATATATAAAGTTTTTTAAAAGTGGCTAACATCCGATATGAGGAAGAGAAATTCTGCCCACACTCCCTCAACACCTCCACATTGCTAAGCTCAGCGAACAGTCCGTGCGCGTCTCCCTTGCCCTGGCAGTGAGGCTGGCCAGTCCGGTTCCTGAAACACTTTGCTTGGCTCCTGCCACCAACCCTGGCTTTGATGCTGCCGTCCTGGCCCCTGGCTCTGTTTGCTGACCACCCTCTCTACCTGACTTTCAACAGCGGGTCCTCTGGGTCTTCATTCTGTTCTCAACTCTCCACGCCCCTGGCTTCAACTACCCAACCCCCCAAATGTATCTAACCCACACGGCTACCGTTAGCCACACCTGAGTGTCTCAGGCTTGGCAGACATCTCTGCCTGGTTATGTCACAGGCAAGGTCAATATGTCACAACCCAGCTCAGATCTAGTGCTGACCCCGTCGCTCTGAACGGCCTCACCTTCCTATCACCATCCTCTCCACAGGCCCCTCAACCCTGCTCAGGCCCACAGCCCATCTCCTGTCCTCGCTCCAGCCTGTCCCCAGCTCTGCTGCCACCACCAGCCTCCGCTTTCGGAATGAAGTTCAAAACCCTTACCGCAGCAGCCCGTGTGACCTGGCCCTCAGCCACCTCCGTGGCCTCACTTGGTGCTCAGTTCTCTCGTTCGCTGTGCAAGGCTCTATTCAGCTTCTCAAAAGAGTCCGGGCTTCAGCGCCTGCTCCCCAGCCCCGTCCTTCCCCAGGTCTCGCCTGAACAGCCCTGTCGCCCAGGCTCAGCTGAAGGCCCTCCTCAGGGCTGCCTCTCCCAGCCCGTCCCCGGCTCCCCCTCCTGTGCCCGCTCCTCCCACGTCTGTCCCAGAGGAAACACCTGCGTGGGCACCATCCCCGCAGGCCCTGCCCCTGGAGTCCGTGTTCCAGGGTCTCCGGGCCCCATCACAATGGGAGTTCCATGGGGGGGGGGGGGCTGGTGGTGGGGGCCCTCCGGGGCCTGAGAGCCTGGGCGTGGCCTCTGCCGGCTTCTGGCTGCCAGGCTGGCTGGTTGGCTGGCTGGTTGGTTAGTTGGCTGGCTGGCTGGCTGGTTTTCTTTACAGAGTAAAAGCCAGTAGAGGCCTGGTAAGCGGAGGTGAGGAGGGCTGAGTTTAAAGGGGGGTGAGGGTGGGGCAGGTACAACAGCGCGGAGCGCACAGAGGAGTAGGGGGGTGGAGAGGGGGTCCTGGAGGCCAAGAACCTGCCCCTGGAGGGCTCCCCAGGGCAGGGCGGCCACATGGGGCGCGCAGGCCTCCCCGGGCTCTGGGGTGAGGGGCTCCTGTCGGCGGGGTTCTGCCCAGGGGGCCCCGGGCCCCGCCGGGACATGACCACAATCACTGGGAGTCAGCTGCCCTTCCTCCTGGCCCCCAGGCCCTGCCCCCCAGGTCCTGGCCGGGCTCCGGGACAGGCCTGGGCGGTCCTGATGGCGAAGGCGGGAGCCCAGGCACGTCTGTCACCCCCCTGTCCTTGTTTCTGCGCCTGCAAGCGGGGTGCCTGGGCCTGGCTCGCAGAGTGGGGTTCCCCAGTGTCCTGCCAGCAGCAGCAGCCCCTAACTTCTCAGAAAAGCACCTTCTCTGCCTCTCGCCCCCTTCATCCCCCACTGAGTCGGAATCTGCCCCATAGGCCCAGCAACCTGTCTGCCAGGGCCCCGCTGATGGCAGTCTGCACGGGGAGGCTGGGAACGGTGGGCAGGCAGATGAAATGAAATGATGGTTGCCAAAACCGGTGTGGCTCAGTGGTAGAGCGTCGGCCTGCGGACTGAAAGGTCCCAGGTTCGATTCCGGTCAAGGGCACGTACCTGGGTTGCGGGCACATCCCCAGAAGGGAATGTGCAAGAGGCAGCTGGTCGATGTTTCTAGCTCATCGACGTTTCTAGCTCTCTATCTCTCTCCCTTCCTCTCTGTGAAAAATCAATAAAATATATTTTAAAAAAGAAAAGAAATGATGGCACAGAGAGGTGACGGACAGCAGGTGTCCCACCCACAGCGGCTGCGGTCACTGTGATTCCAGGAGCGGAGCGGGCCTTAGGTAGTTGCCAGAAATAGAAGATAAGCACTTCTTTCCTTTTCTTCTAAGCAGGTTTTTATTTTCTTACTCAAAAAAAAAAAATAAATAAATATAGGCCCAGAGCCTCTCCAACAAAAAACAGGTATGCAACCTTAGCGGGTTCCCCTAGGACCCCCACCTGCTAACGAAGAAGAGCCTCCAGACAGGATGCCAGGCCCTGCCTCTCCCCCTTAGACGTGTCTCTCTGTGCCTTTGAAATCATCTGGGAAGGGATTTTTAAAATATATTTTTTTGTTTTTTTAAATATATTTTTATTGATTCCAGGGAGGAAGGGAGAGGGAGAGAGAGAGAGAAACATCCATGATGAGAGAGAATCACTGAGCAGCTGCCTCCTGCATGCCTCCTATTGGGGATCGAGCCCACAATCTAGGCATGTGCTCTGACTAGAATCGAACTGTGATCTCCTGGTTCATAGGTTGATACTCAGCCACTGAGCCACACCGGCCAGCAGTATCATAATAACTTTGTACAGTGACAGGTTACTAGTCATGTCATGGTGATCACATCCTATGGTAGATCAACGTAGAATCACTATGCTGTGTGTTAACTATACTTTAACTTTTAGAAATGTGTTCTAAAAGATTGAAAATGTAAGCGTTAACCATGAGACTGTTACCAGGTGGGCCTGAGGCCGGAGTGGGGCCGCTTCCTGCCAGCAGGTGGTGTGTGGGTTCCTGGCGCACGTAGGAAGGATTTCACAGGCCCAGGTGATTTCCAGGGCACAGAGAGACACGTCTAAGGGGGAGAGGCATGGGCCTGGGCATCCTGTCTGGAGGCTCTTCCTTTCTTTAGCAGGTGGGAATCCTAGGGGAACCCCAAGGGAGGGTCTTAACAGAATACCTGTTAGCTTCCCAGGTGTGTCCCTCACTATCTGACTCCTCAAAGGGAGCGTACCGAGGAGTCAGGGTTATTTTCCAGTTACTTTTCAAAGACCATCAGTCAAGAAGGACCAGGATCACCGGGACAGTCTGGAACGTGTCAACCACTGACCCTCAGTGTCCTTGGCTTGGGGAGAGAAAACCTTAGAATTCATTCGCTGGCTGGAAATAGCTGAAATTGTTTGGCCTTGTTTAATAATTTTTCACCATTTCCTTTATTGCACTTGCCAAGGGATTGTCCTCGCTTCTTCTTATCCCACCTCAAAACAATGAGCCCAATAAGGATGAAAGGGGCTGATGTCTTTCTGGAGCAACCAGCTTTATCTTATTGCTTGTTGTTGTTGTTTTTCCCTTTGGTTTATTACAGAAAACTTCCCCAAAGGAAACGCTAGGATTCATTCGCTATGATACGTTTGCCCAAGAAAGGATTGCCGAGGTTTGACCAGATCCAGGATGAGGAGACCTACCTGGAGAGCCTGGCGGTCCAGAGGAACGCCTCTGCTTTCTTTGAGAAGTACGACCGGAGCGAGATGCAGGAGCTGCTGACCACCACGCTGGTGAGCTGGCTGTCGGGCAAGGAGGACATCCACCTCCAGATGGACTCGCCGGCCGGCAT